CGCTGGCCGTGGCGTGCGCGCTTGCCTGGCCAGCCTTCCGCAGGTCCTCCCGGCCCCGCCGTCAGTCCGCCGGCAAGATGGCGGCGCCCAGCGAGCCCACGGGCTTCCCTCGCAGCAGTGCCTTCTCCTTCCTGCCCCGCGGCGCGCGCTCCGAGATGACCGATGACTTGGTGACTGACGCGCGGGGCCGTGGCACCGGGCATAGAGACGCCGCCGCCTCGGCCCCGACCCCGGCCCCGGCTTCGGCCTCGGCCCCGGCGCCGCAAGGTTTGGAGCACGGGAAGCTGCCGTGCCGGGCCTGCGTGGACTTCAAGTCGTGGATGCGAACCCAGCAGAAGGTGCAGATGCCCCGCCTGACCGCCCGGTCCCGGTTCCCCGCCCCACATCGGGTTTCCTCGGGGTTAACTATGCCTGAACGTGTCCACCCCCTCACCCCCACACACCGTTAGGCTCGAACTTTGAGCTTTCGGCTGCCGGATCGGTTTACTAGGCTGCCAACTGAAAAAGGGAGCATTCTTGTTTCCTTTATTTTTGGTGACACTGGGAATCCGAACCCAAAGCCTCTGGCGTGCAACGCAAGCCATCTGCCACTGGGTTGGAATTGTGTGGGCTTTTGGTTGGGGAAGAGTGAACTGACCCTTGGTCGGCCTACTTCTGCAGCGGGACACCAAGTTTAGGGAGGACTGTCCACAGGATCGGGAGGAATTAGGTCGTCACACCTGGGCTTTCCTCCACACGCTGGCCGCCTATTACCCGGACATGCCCACCCCAGAACAACAGCAAGATATGGCCCAGTTCATACATTTATTTTCCAAGTTTTACCCCTGCGAGGAGTGTGCGGAAGACATAAGGAAGAGGTAAGTGCTGAAGGGGGCCTGGCTGATGTCATAGAGAGGGACCTAGAAAAATAGATACAGAAGTGACAGGCTGCTAGGAAAGGGATCACCAAAAGGGATGTTGGGTCATGGGAGCCTTCTCCTTCGTTAGCCTTAAGGTTTTTAGGAAGGTCTTCCCTGCCACTCCCTTTATTTATTCCTCATGGGCAGATTGGCTTAGAGTCCACATTGCCTAACTTCCCTAATTCCTCAGTGTGCTTCGTGACTTTAGAAACGGGAACGATAATTTATCACTCTCAATGGCCTAACCTATCTTACAAGTATTTCTAGGTTGGACCTGTTGGGCAGTTAGTTGCACTTGCTATTTGAAGCCTGGACAGTTAGGAATGAGGGGGATCTCACGCTGAACTGGGCCCCTGGTGCTAAGAAGCACTCTGTGCCAGGCCCCAGCTGTCTAGACTCTGCCTGGGGCTAGAGACCATAGGGCGAGGCTCCCTGATTGTTACAAGGTTGTAAAGTTGCCTGCTTTAGTATATCTTACTCTGGGCTCTTGCCAGTCAGATGAGTGAGCAGCCCTGGGAGTTGCCCAAGCCCAGGAAACTCCAGAGTCAACCCTGGTCTTTCTTGGCTTTCTCATCCCCTTGGAGCATGAGGGCATCCCCAAGTGTCATTCATAGCAGTGCCTGGCTCCCTGTCCCCAGGCGCTGGAAGGACAGAGGAGTCAGCACTCATGTGCTTCCTGTGCTTCTCTCACAAAGGATAGGCAGGAACCAGCCAGACACACGCACCCGGGTCTCCCTCAGCCAGTGGCTCTGCCGCCTGCACAATGAGGTGAACCGGAAGCTGGGCAAGCCTGTCTTTGACTGTTCCAGAGTGGATGAGCGATGGCGTGACGGCTGGAAGGACGGCTCCTGTGACTAGAAGATTGTCAGCAGAGCATGCGGGGCAGGCATCCGGCCACGCTCCATGGGCAGCCTGGCTGGAGGGACGGCCTACTGATTAAAGTGTATCTGAGCCAAAGCTTGTTTGGGTGGTGGGGGGAGGGGTCCCTGGGACACTGCCAATGGGAACCCTACCCACAGGATTAAGAAATGGGGGTGCCCACTGCAGACACTTTGGTGGCCTCAGCTAAAGCCCCATGGGACTGAAGATGAGAGAGGCAGTAGTCCAGGCTGCCCCAAACGCTTTATAATGCAGCCCCAGCCTCTTGCCCATTATACACCTGGGACGTAGTTGCCCTGTAGGAAGATAGGCTGGACCATTGCCATCCTACTGCATATCCAGGAGTGCCTACAGAGTTGTGACCGAGGCGGCTCTGTGCCCTTTCAGAACTGAAGCGTGGTACTGAGCTGTCTGTGCTATGCTCTGTCCGCAGCTCTAGTAGGGTTCTTCTCTTGGGGTGTACCCACCATACTGCCCACTGCCTGCCTGCCACATGGTCTTCCACAGCTGTGACATGCCTGTCAGCAGGTGATCCTGAACATCTGCTTCCTTAGAGTTTGAGACCAAAATAAAATGAAGTGACTCAGGGCCTGGTTTCTGTGTGTTTTGTACTGGGGTTTACAGTGATGGACAGGCCTGCTTTTGCTTTTCTGTGACTAGTTGGATGCTCTTGTCTGAAGTTCTGGCAGAAGCAGCTGAGAGACAAGGTCTTTTTTTTTTTTTTTTGAGACAGGGTTTCTCTTTGTAGCTTTGCGCCTTTCCTGGAACTCACTTGGTAGCCCAGGCTGGCCTCAAACTCACAGAGATCCACCTGGCTCTGCCTGAGTGCTGGGATTAAAGGCGTGCGCCACTATCGCCCGGCTGTGCACCACCACCACCACCCAGCTGACAAGCTCTTCATGAAAAGTGAGAGAACACCGTGCAACACCCCCCACCACCAGAAAGAAGCTGAGGATGACTAGGGGGCTGTGGGACACAAATGGAGAGTGGCCAGTGTTGGCATCTGGTTATTTGTGTCTCGTTGGAATTCAGAATGCTGAGTGTGCACCCTCCAGTTGTTGGGCTCCTTTGGATCTGCTCAGCTCCATCTATCCTTAGGCAAGGCTCCTAACCAGAGCGTCCCAGCAGCAGTGGGTACCCCAGTCCTCAGAGTACAAAGATACCATTCTTTCCTGTGTCGGACCTTTTGTGGGTGAGGACTAGCTTGGGCATGACTTCTTGTGCCTCCAGTGGAGCATTCATTTAAGAGCACTGGCTGTTCTTCCAGCACTCATGTAGGGACTCACAACCATCTGTAACTCCAGTCCCAGGGGATCCAACACCCTCTTCTGGCCTCCCTGGGTACCTGGTACAAAAGCCCATACAGAAATACACACAGGCCAAACAATCAAAACACAGAGATCCACCTGCCTCCACCTCCTGAGTGATGGGATTAAAGGCGTGTGCCACCACTTCTGGTTCAAAACACATTACAAAAAAAACAAAAACAAAACAAAAAAAAAACAAGATGTGTTAACACATCCCTTTACCTTTAGGCCTAGTACTCAGGATCTCTGAAGTTTGAGGCCAGCTTGTTCTACATACTGAGTTCCAGGTCATCCAAAGCTACACAGAGAAACCTTGTCTTGGCTGTTCTTAAAACAAGAGAGGATTAAATAAAATCTTAAAAAAAAAAAAAAAAAAAAAAAAGAAAAGGCTGGAGAGATGATGGCTCAGAGGTTAAGAGCACTGACTGCTCTTCCAGAGGTCCTGAGTTCAATTCCCAGCAACCACATGGTGGCTCACAACCATTTGTAATGAGATCTGGCGCCCTCTTCTGTATACATAATAAATAAATAAAATTTAAAAAAAAAAAAAAAAACCAAAAGAGGAGCCGTGGTGGCGGCGGCGGCGGCGGCGGCGGCGGCGGCGGCGGCGGCGCACACCTTTAATCCCAGCACTCGGGAGGCAGAGCCAGGCAGATCTCTGTGAGTTCAAGGCCAGCCTGGGCTACCGAGTGAGTTCCAGGATCTCTGTGCAAAGCTACATAGAGAAACCCTGTTTCGAAAAAAAACAAAAACAAAAAACAGAGAGGGAAAACCAATAACTCAATACATTTATTTTTTTAAAAATCAAAGCTTCATTTTGTCCCTGTTCAGGGCATCCAGGTCAAGACAAGTGGAGCTGTAGTGTAAAGGAAGGTTGTGGCTGGAGCTGGCATGGGGAGCTGTCAGCACATACAGAGTAAGAGAGGCAACACAAAGGATCCAGCGTGGTGGCACACACCTTTTTTTGTTGTTTTGGTTTTTCCAGACAGGGTTTCTCTGTGTAACATCCCTGGCTGTCCTGGAACTCACAAAGTCTGACTAACTGAGTGTGACCCTCAAAACCCAGGGTGGAAAGAGGGGGAACTGGTTGTCCTCTGACCTCCACCCAGTGACTGGCATGTGCAACCCAGCGCGCGCGCGCGCGCGCGCGCGCACACACACACACACACACACACACACACACACACACACACAGAAACAATGAAACAATCAACAGGCTGGGCGAATAAACAGTTCAAGGCCATCCTGATCTACAGAGCAAGTTCCAGGACAGTGGTATGGGGAGATGTTTGCTGTGCTTTTGTGATCATGAAGACCTGAGTGTAGATCTCCAGCATCTTAGACTAGGCTGGCCTTGAACTCACAGAGATCTGCCTGCCTCTGCCTCCCTTGTGCTGGGATTAAAGGTGTGCACCACCACTCCCCAGCTTGGTGGCACACGCCTTTAATTCCAGCACTACATAGAGATCCTGTCAACAACAGAGGGAGAAAGGTCCTAGGGACTCAAACCCATAGGTCTGGTAAATGGAAGGACAGGAAAGGCACTTTTGGAACTCACCAAGTTCCACCTGCCTCTACCTCCTGAGCAGGAAAAGCACTTTGAAGAGGCTCATGATGGCTAGAGACTTAGCTCAGAGGGAAAATGCTTGCCTGGCATGCATAATACCCTGGGTTCTATTCCCAGCAATGGGGAAATAAAAAGGCTATGAGGTAGACATTAGAGGTGTAAGCTGTATGGATGAGCCAGGAGAATCCAGCTTGATTCTGAAATGGCAGGTGAGGTACCTGGCTAGATGCAGGGTAGGGGCTTGATTTATACTGGGGGATCTGAGGGAAAAGGGGGAAGGGAAAGTGCTAGAAATAAGTGGGTAACCGCTTGAGTTTGCTGCTAAGGGGAACAGAAGTGAGACCAAAAGCTGTTTGTTTGGTGATGCTGGGAATTGACTCTAAGACCCCATGCGTGGTAGGCAGGCTTTCTGTCACTGGGCTATATACTCAGCCCAAGGACTGCTTTTCAAAGAACGTGCTGCATTTTGGGGTACTGATGAAAATGATGGAGGAAAAGGGGGAAATAGGTGGTAGCACAGATCTGCCCACGGCTAAAAGGGGACAGGATGGGATTAGGTATCAGGGAGTTGACCAAACTGGTGGGCTGCACCTGCTCTGGTCACCTGTTTCCAACTAGGCCGAAGAGTGTTTTGGACCAGAACCAATGGGTTTCCTAGGGACTGGACCAGGTGCTTCCAGCTACACTTCCCTCTGAAGAATGAACAACAGGTCGCAGTAAAATGCTTGGCACTGCACAGTCTTAATATGTGTAGACTTTGCTTATACCTGGCTCTGGTCCCAGGGAAGACAGAGACAGAAAACTAGAGGCCTCATCCATGATCTTTTACTATACCCAGCTTCTGCTGTGACCATGAAGGTAGAGCTATTCAGCCTGGCACTGAAGGAGCATGAAGTGGGTCTGTGGGATTCCCAGCAGTGGCCAGGGTAGCTGGGTAACATCTGGGACAAGATCTTATCTCTGCACCGAGCAGTGGTGGTGCACACCTTTAATCCCAGCACCTGAGAGGCAGAGCCAGGTGAGTTCAAGGCCAGCCTGGGCTACAGATTGAGTTCCAGGAAAGGCCCAAAGCTACACAGAGAAACTCTGTCTCAAAAAAAAAAAAAAAAAAAAAAAAAAAAGAGGCTAAGATCTTATCTCTGCTGTTTCTCCCCTTCTTGAACTCAGGATTAAAGAGCTACAGATCAGCCCTAGAGACCAGAGATGGAGAGAGCTCATGGAAGACATGACCTGGCCAGAGGGAGAGAACAGAGATGTCAGCCTTCACTCCTGCTGGCCACGTGGACCCTGCCTCCCAGACAAGTGCCCCTGCAGGTCGCTGCCCCCACTCTTCACCTACCCTGTCAGTAAGGTACAATCTGTGAAGGGAGCCAGAATGCAGTGGAGATGTGAGCCACAGGCAAGACAAGTGTGTATCACATCTCTGAGCTGAGATTTTCTTCATTCTCAGCCAAAAAGAGGTCAGGGGCTTCTTTCCTTATGTGTTTTTTGATTTCTTTCTATCATGATTAAAGGGCTAGTGAGAAGTGATTTTACCTCTGCTCTTCTGAGACTAGGGTCTGGGGGCTGATTCTCTCTCCCTGAAGGCAAAGGGCAAGATGCTAGGCCTCAGTTTCCCCTTACATACTCACCAGAAGGCCCTCCTGGTCAGAAAAGCGGGGTGATGATGGGCTTGTCCTTCTGTCGATGCTCTTGGCGGTGTTAAAATCTGAGCTCAGTCCTTACCGTCTCTTGCCCACCTCTAAAACCCATGGAGACCTCGCTTTGTCTTTGCAGAGAATGTCCCCATCTCAGACTCTGTCGTGCAGGGGACTGTGAGCGGAAAGGATGGAGGGCAGGGCTCAGGACCCCGGCGCGTGGACCCAGTCGGGGGCGCTGGCTCGGCCCCGCCCCGCGCGCCCCCGCCGCAGCCGACGCGCGCTCCCGGGAGGTGGCGGCAGCGGCGGCAGCATCCGTAGCATCAGCAGCCTCAGCAGCAGCCCCGGGCAGTCTCGGGCAGGGCAGGCCGGCGGGACAAACGGACAGAAGGCACAGGTCCCGCCATGGAGGGAGCCTCCTTCGGCGCGGGCCGTGCGGGAGCTGCCTTCGATCCCGTGAGCTTCGCACGGCGGCCCCAGACCCTGTTGCGGGTCGTGTCCTGGGTGAGTGGCCCCTAAGCAGGCCCCTTTCCGGTCCCCCATCTCTCCGAGCATCCCCGTCTCCCACCCTCACCCGCCCCCTGCCCATCGCCCCTCACCCTCCTCTCCGCCGGCCCCTCCCCCCCGACCGCAGGTTGGGGTGACGTCACATGGCTAGGCGCGCCCACCTGCGGGCGGGGGAAGGGCGGCTGTTACCAATAGACCTTGAGAGGTCACTGCTGGTCTCCCCCTGCCCTCAATTCCTCTTTAGGTCTAATCCAGTCCCCTTCCTCAGCCTTTTCTTCATTTTTTCCGGTTCCCAAAACCTGGAAGCGGGCACAGGGTTGCGGATGTGATTCTCCGAGGGGTTCAGGGACTAAATTCCAGATGGGAGAGGGTGCATGGGAGCCAAGGGGGAATGCGCAGTTCCTTCACTTTGCCAGATCATAAATACATCAGGTTCATTTAAAGGGAGATGGTCCTGTTTTAGACCCCTTAGGTCTAGCTGTGAATTGAAGGAGGGCAAGGGGGTGTAGTTAGAAGGGCCTCATCTGGGAGCGCTTCCTGGAAATGGCATGGAAACTGCAGACTGGTAATCTATCCTGCTGATGCATATCTTGCCTGTCCTAACCCCTAGGACAGAAGGAGATTTGGGAGATGGGTGCCAAGTTCTGGATTTTGTCCCCCTGGCACTGGTCTAATCTCCATGCCTGTCTTGGAGGAGGGCGGTTCCCAGGGTGGGGCAGCCCCTCCCCCCAAGACCTAGTGGCCTGAAGCAAGACTCTTCTGGTCCTGACTTGTGGATTGCTCTCAAGGGACATGTCCATGCTGTGGCATTTTCCATGACTACATTATCAAGGAGTTTGGGCAAGAAAGGAGTGAAATACGATTTGAGACTAGAGGACATTTCTTGGAAACACAGGACTGCCTAGACTTAGAAGCATCTACTTTAAAATGACTGTGGTTTGCTTCCATCATGCCTCAGAGAATTGGTGGGCAGGAGGTCCTGGGTCGGACCAAACCTTAGAAGTCAGTGGCCAGCTTTAGAGCCCAAATGCTCCTGACTGACATTATAACGGATTACTCAGGGGGGTCATTTCTGGTGTCTACTATTGCTAGTGGACATTCCTGGACCCAGTGTTCCTAGCTAGTTTACTCCATGTGATAGACTAAGGAGCAGACACACACAGCTCCCATGTGCAGAGGTCCAGCTCAAAAGGGGAAAGACTGACATGCTTGTGTATTTCTCTAGATAGCTGTCCCTTGACTTCATCCTCAACAGTGCCCTGGCCCACCACAACCCTGGAAGTCACCTATATAGGTGGAGGCTCCTGTCTCCACACTTTTAATTTTACTCCACGAGGCCATAGGTTCCAAGCCTCAGAGGAGCCAGGGCTCTTAGCAGTCATATGACCATGAGAAATGACTTCACCGTGGGAACCCTAATGTGCCTGCTTATAAAGAGGAGAGGAAGAGTGGTGTCTCTGATATTTTATATCACAGGTGTTTTCCTGCATGTATGTCTGTGCACCATGTGTTCGGTACTGGCAGAAGCCAGAGAGGGCATCAGATCCCCTGTAACCGAGTTACAGTCATGAGCTTCCATGTGGGTGCTGGGAATTGAACCCTGGTCCTGTAGGAGAACCTAGCCAGTGCTCTTAACTGTTGAGCCATCTCATCAGCCCTGTATTATTGTTTTATTAGTGTCTTATGTAGCCAAGGCTGTCCTCCTCTGATCCTTCTGACTCCACCTCCCTAGTGTTGTGATTACAGGCATACAATACCTCCATGCAAACCTATGTACAGTAGCGGTTTTAGCTACTCCTTAAATGCTTCTTTTTGTTTGTTTTTTTGAGACAGGGTTTCTCTGTGTAGCCCTGGCTGTCCTAGAACTCCCTCTATAGACCAAATTGGCCTCGATCTCAAGAGATCTGCCTGCCTCTGCTTCCTGAGTGCTAGGATTAAAGGTGTTCGCCACCACCGCCCAGCTTCTTTATTTTCAATAATTCCTCAATATGCAAGAGGGTGGGGAAATGGGTTCAGTGTTGCAGGAGAACTTGGGGCTCTTGACAGGGCAACCGCTGCCTCAGGCAGTGGCGTGAGGAGGCCTCCGAGCCCTAAGCGCCGCCTGCTGCCTGCAGGTGTTCTCTATAGCCGTGTTCGGGCCGATAGTCAACGAGGGCTATGTGAACGCGGACAGCGGTCCAGAGCTGCGTTGCGTCTTCAACGGAAACGCGGGCGCCTGTCGCTTCGGCGTCGTGCTGGGTCTCGGGGCCTTCATCGCCTGCGCTGCCTTCCTGCTGCTGGACGTGCGCTTTCAGCAGATCAGCAGCGTCCGAGACCGCCGCCGCGCAGTGCTCCTGGACCTGGGCTTCTCAGGTGGGCGGGGCCGGCGGTGAGGGGCGGGGCCTGATGTGGGAGGGGGCTGGGGCGGGACCTGGGGCGTTGAGCGAAAGCGGCCGGATAGGTACGAACTGGCTGAGTCCGTGGACCAAAGGGCCTTTGCAGGGGCGTGACTGGGCCTCTGAGAAATAGGACCAGGCCCGGGGACTGCCGCGGGGCTTCTTCCGGGGATGTAGCAGGCTGTGAGATGCGAGGTTTTGAGCCCGTGGCACCCAGCCACAAGAGGGCGGGACCTAGATGAATGGAGGGAGCCCGGTGTTGGGAGGGCCCGGAACTCGGGCCCTGGCTAGCCTAGTGAAAGGGATGCGAGGATTAAGGCTGGGCTGCGAAGGGGCGGGGCCTTGAGGGTCTTGTAAACAGGTATTTGCTGGTGAACCTGAGAGACACTGCACCTTCTCTGAATGGTTCAGCTAGAACACAGATCCTGGTAGTGGAACACCATCTGATCACCAGTCCCCACCTGCAGGGGTCTGGTCCTTCCTGTGGTTCGTAGGCTTCTGTTTCCTCACCAATCAGTGGCAACGCACAGCGCCAGGACCAGGCACTGCGCAGGCTGGGGATGCGGCGCGGGCCGCCATCGCGTTCAGCTTCTTCTCCATCCTCAGCTGGGTGAGTGCGGGTCTTGTGGGTGGCGGGGCCGGGAGTGTCTCTGGGTTTGCCCCAGCTGACCCTGGCTCTCCCATCCAGGTGGCGCTCACCGTGAAGGCCCTGCAGCGGTTCCGCCTGGGCACCGATATGTCTCTCTTTGCCACAGATCAGTTAGGTGCTGGGGCTGCCCAGACCTACCCAGGCTACCCAGTGGGCAGTGGTGTGGAGGGCACAGAAACATACCAGAGCCCGCCCTTCACCGAAACCCTGGACACCAGCCCCAAAGGGTACCAGGTGCCTGCCTACTAGTAGCTGTTAGGCTCCAGCCAGGGCTGGAAGGCCACCTCACCATCGTAGGCCTCAAGGCCTCCTGGGACCTTTCCTGGGTCCTACCGTCCCAGTGCCAAGGACAGAGAAGGTGGCCACTGTGGGCCTCTGGGACCAAGGGGAGTAGCCTCCCTGGGGTGCCTGGACTGTCCCTAGTTAGTTCCCCCTAGTTAGGTCCTAGTCCTAAGGCCCTGAGAAGAAAACAGTACTGCCTGGAGTGGGCTGCCCTGGGAGGCATTCCTTTCCATAGGCCAGGCAACCGGTGGCTCACCTGTCCACTCTAGGGTCAGAAGTCCAGCTGCCTTCCAGGGCAGGGTGCAAGGGCTTCTGAGGACCAGGGAGAGGGAGACTATTTGCACCCTAAGGTGGGGGTTATGGCCCTTGTTCCCAGTCCCACGTCCCTGAGGGCAGTGACTGCCCTGGCTCCTATCATGGTGGTCCACCCTGTCCAGAGGCTCCCTGTACTTCCTCTTGCAGGATCCCTAGAGCAGCTCAGCCCTGTCGGTGTTGTGATTGTGATTAAGTCTTCAGGTTTCATCTCATAGTGCCCCCATAAGCTGCCCCCTCTCTGTGTGGCTCCTGCCCAGGTGTGGGTGCTTCTGGCCAGGAAGGCATAGACAGCTATGGGCCTGGGTACCTACCCTTCAGTAAGAAAGACCCTCCCTAGGGAGGAGTGAGGCAGCCGGGTACCCGGGTGACAGGCAGGACAAGCCTCTTACAAGAAGAGGACTAAAGGTCTCATCTGCCCAGGGTGTCGCTGGAGAGAGTCATTCCTGTAAATGGCTTTACCTTGGTTTCCTGAACCAGTCCCTCCCTATTCTATCGCCTATTCCCTTTTAAGGCCCAGACCAGGTCCCTGTGCGTAGCAGACTACTCATGCATTGCTTGAAGCTGGCTTTTCACATCAAGTCAAAACCAAATGCGTTGCCATATCTCCTTCTTCCAGACAAAATGCCTCCCTGTGGAGTTGCAGTTGAATGACAACCCTGTACGTTGTAGCATAGACCAATTATGTGGATATTTAAGTGAACATGTTTACAATTTTTGTATATATGGATCTTTCCTCTCTCTTCTGAAAGAACAATCCGTGATTGTGTATTTTCAGTGTCCCCTGTTACAACTGCAACTTCTTTACAATAAAGACTGTAAACACATTGACCACAATTAAGGTACTCCTAGAATCATTTTCACCCCTGTCTCTGCTGTGCTGGGGGTTGGGGTCTCGGCATCAGGACCTAGAATTTGGGAGTGGGTAGGAAGGTGGAGACCACACAACTATGATCTCTCTTTTTTTGTTGTTGTTGTTTGTTTTTCAAGACAGGGTTTCTCTGTGTAGCTTTGGTGCCTTTCCTGGAACTCACTTGGTAGCCCAGGCTAGCCTCGAACTCACAGAGATCTGCCTGCCTCTGCCTCCTGAGTGCTGGGATTAAAGGCGTCACCGCCCGGCCCAACTATGATCTCTTAATAAATCACATTGGTCTGGTAAAATTTGCTACTCAGTGCAGGCTCTCTGAAATGCTGGAGACTGTAGTAGAATGTTAGTTGAAGATGTGTTACATTTGTTTATGCTGTGGAATATTTGTTTAATGATACAAAGATGCATTCTTTAATGTTACATTTCTTTAACTCTATTAAGCTGCGTTATTTTGCCAGTCTTAAAACACCTGATTGGGCTAATAAAGAACTAAATGACGAATAGGTAGGCGGGAGAGAGAAGTAGGCAGGGCTTCCAGGCAGAGAGAATAATTAGAAGAAGGAGCAAGAAAAAGGAGGAGCCAGGTGGCGGCGGCGGCGGCGGCAGTGGCAGTGCATGCCTTTAATCCCAGCAAAGCCAGGCAGATCTCTGTGAGTTTGAGCCCAGCCTGGTCTACAGAGTGAGATCCAGGACAGGCACCAAAACTACACAGAGAAACCCTGTCTTGGAAAAAAAAACAAAAAAAAAAAGGAAAAGGAGGAGAGGAGGATGCCAGGGGCCAGCCAAACAGCCAGCAAAAGAGTAATAAGTAAAGACATATAGAATAGAGAAAGGTAAAAGCCCAAAGGCAAAAAGTAGATGGAATAATTTAAGTTAAAAAAAAATGCTGGCTAGAAATAAGCCAAGCTAAGCTTATTTCTGGACATTCATAAGAAAGACTAAGTCTCTGTGTATTAATTTGGGAGCTGGGTTGCAGCCCCCAAAGAGCAAAGAGTAAAAATAGCCAACTGCAGATCTCTCTCTCTTTTTTTATTTTTATTTTTTTTGTGGTGGTGGTATTGTGTGTGTGTTTTGTTTTAAGACAGGGTTTCTCTGTGTAGCCCTGGCTGTCCTGGAACTCACTCTGTACACCAAGCTGACCTAGAACTCAAGAGATCTGCTTGCCTCTGCCTCCCAAGTGCTAGGATTGAAGGTGTGTTTGACCATGCCCTGCCCACTCTTTAAAAAAAGATTTATTTTCATTTATGTGCACATGTATGTCACATTTGTGCTGGTACCTGTGGAAACCTGAAGAGGGCTCTGGATTTCCTGGAACTGGAGTTACAAGCAGTTATAAGCTGCTTGATGTGGGTGCTGGGGACTGAACCTGAGTTCTCTGCAAGAGTAGTAATTGCTCTTAACCCCTAAGCCATCTCTCCAGTTCTCAACCCCCTTTTGAGACAAGGCCTCTCCATATAGTCCTGGCTGTCCAGGAAATTGCTATGTAAACCAGGCTGGCCTTGAGATCCACCTACTACCTCTGCTAGGATTAATGGTGTGTGCCACCACACCCATAGTAACCTCTAATTTATGCTAAATAGTTCATACAAATGGAATCACACAAAATTTGTCTTTCTTGAGGTGGCCAGGGTCTCATTATATAGTCCTGGTTGGCTTAGAAATTGATGTGTAGGCCAGATTGGCCTCAAACTTATAATGATCCCCTTGACTCTTAATTGCTAACTGCTGGGATTACAGGCTTGCATCAATCACCGTATCTGTTTTACATGTTGCTAGAGATTGAACCCATGACTTTGTGCTTGCTAGGCAAGCACTTTTCAAACTGAGCTACATCCCAGCCTAGAACTCAGAGATTCTCCTGTCTCTGCCTCCTGAGGGCCAGGCTTAAAGGTATGCTCCACCACCGCCCGGCGGCTCAACGTCTTTTTCACTCCTTTGACAAGTGTTTGTATTTTTTGCTTTGGTAAGTAGCTGACCTGGTTGCCCCCAGGCCTCTCCTCTATCAGGTGACTGTCAGTCTGGTTTTGATGTTATGGTGCTCTTCAGACCTGGCCATGTCAACACTCCAGTGTCCAGTCTGATACCAGACTAGTGGCAAAGTCTGTAGGGTATATGGGCATCTGAGGCCTGAACTTTAGCCTCATGATTTTCTGGGGTCACCTTCCTAAATTCCTGCCTCAATTTGATCTCTGTAGCACTTTCTAGTTCCCCTGGCTCTTTCCTCAGTCTTCTGCGAAGAAAGCTAGACTAAGCTGGGCAGTGGTGTCACACACACTGATCCCAGGGCTAGGGAGGCAGAGGCACAGGCCTGTGAGTTCAAAGCCAGTCTAGTGTACAAAGCATGCTCTAGGACAGCCAGGGCTATACAGAGAAACCCTGTCTAAAAGAGAAAAAAAAAAGAGGGGAGAGGAATCTAAGTCATGTGTGGTGGTATACATTTGTAATTCAGGCACTTAGGAGGTAGGAGGGGGAAAAAAATAAAAAAAAAAAAAAAGAGGTAGGAGGAATGTCGGGCCTTGTTCTAGGCTATCGTCAGCTACATGGTGAGTTGGAGGCCAGCCAAAACAGAAAAAGGGGAGGGGTGATAATGTGAGATGTGGTCAGTTGTTATGTTAAAGTTCTTGCCTTACAAGCATAAGGACCTAAATGACCCCATAACCCCCACAAAAATGCTGGATGGGTTGTTATATGGTTATAATCACAGACTGGGGAGATTAAGACAGGAGGACCCCTGGGGGTTACTGGCCAGTCAGTTTAGCTTAATTGGTAAACTCCAGGCCAATGAGAAACTCTCTCTCTCTTTTTAAAGTTTTTCAGGACAGGTTTTCTCTTTGTAGCCCTGTCCTAGAACTAGCTCTGTAGCCCAGGCTGGCCTTGAACTCACAAGATCCGCCTACCTCTGCCTCCTGAGTGCTGAGAATAAAGGTGTGTGCCATCCCACCTGGCAAGAGACCCTTTCTTTCTTAAAAAAGATTTATTCCAGGCTGGAGGGATGGTTCAGTGGTTAAGTGCACTGACTGCTCTTCCAGAGGACCTGAGTTCAATTCCCAGCAACCACATGGTGGCTTACAATCATCTGTATTGAGATCTTGTGCCCTCTTCTGGCCTACAGGCATACATGCAGGCAGAACACTGTATACACAATAAATAAATTGAAAAAAAAAAAGATTTATTCCTTTTTATTTTATGTGCACTCATTGTTGTTCTGCCTGGACTAGAGAGAGTTGTGAGGTACCATGCGGATGTTAGGAACTGAACCTGGGTCCTCTGGAAGAGCAGCCAGCGCTCTTAACCACTAAGATCCTTTCTTAAAAGAGGTAAATGGCAATCCTAAGGGTGAAACCTGAGGTTGTCCTCCAGCCTCTGCATGCACATACCCAAGCCCTGCACATGCATTAAAAGGTGTGTGGGAGGGCTGCAGAGCCGGTTTAGCAGTTAAGAGTACTTCTGCTCTGGCAGAGGACTGGGGCTTGATTTTCAGCACCCATATGGTAGCTTACAACCACCCTTAACTCCAGTTCCAGGGGATCCACACACTGTTGTGGCCTCCAAGGGTACCAGGCACACACAGTGTACTTACACAAAATAAAAAATAGACACATCTTTTTAAAAAAGAAACAGGGGCTGGAGAGATGGCTCAGTGGTTAAGAGCATTGGCTGCTCTTCCAGAGGACCCAGGTTCAATTCCCAGCAACCACATGGTGGCTCACAATCATCTGTAACGGGATTTGAAGCTCACTATCATGTATATAGACAGAGTACTCATACCTAAAAAAAATAAATACATGAATAAAAAATTAATTTAAAAAAAAAAGGGAACTAGAAAAATGACCCAGGTTAGTCTGTACCTTCAGTTCTAGATGATCCAGTGCCCTCTTTTGGCTTCTTCAGACACCAGGCGCACACGATAACATACATATGTGCAGGCAAAAACACTCATACATGTAAAATAAAAATAAACCTGGGACTTGGAGGGATGGGTCAGCAATTTTAAGAACATCGGTTGCTCTTCCAGAAGACCCAGATTCAATTTCCAGCACCTACATAGCCGCTCACAGTTCCAGGGGGGTTCAACTGCACAGGGACACACCTAGCTACTCTCCTCTCCTGCCGCCCCTCCCTCCCCATGTGTGTGTGTGTGTGTGTGTGTGTGTGTGTGTGTGTTAGAGAGAGGGCTCATCCAGGCCTGGCTGTCCTTTAACCATCCCTGTAACTCTCCGTAAACGTGAGATCTGGGCCTCTTCCTTTTTTAACTTTATGTTTGGCACCAGGCATAGTGGCGCACGCCTTTAACACCAGCACTCAGGAGGCAGAGGGAGGTGGATCTCTCTGTGAGTTCAAGGCCAGCCTGGTTTCCAAAGCAAGGTCCAAGGCAACCAGGATTATGTAGAGACCCAGTCTCAAAACAAAAACTGAAGAAACTGCGTGCGTGCATGTAAACATTAGAGAAACTGCGTGCGTGCATGTAAACATTAGAGAAACTGCGTGCGTGCATGTAAACATTAGAGAAACTGCGTGCGTGCCTGTAAACGTTAGAGAACAACTTGCAGTTGTGTCTCTTCCCACTGCGTAGTTCTAGAGGGCAAACTCAAGCTGTCAAGCTTGGCAGCAAGCCCCTTCATCCACCGAACCATTTTGCTGGCCCTGTCCCCTCCCCGATCCCTTATTTTTCAGAACTGGGTTTCTGTGTAGCCCAGGCTGGCCTTGAACTGAGATCCACCTGCTCTTGCCTCCCAAGTGCTAGGACTAAAGGCGTGCACCACCACCTCCCAGCCATGTACCCCTACTTTTGAAAGGCAGTTTCATGGGTACTCAATTGTTAGGCCATGAACGGCCAGGTCTGTTCTGGGCAGTGCCTTAGCTCCATGTGGGTCCCAGGGCTGCCAACTTCTTCCTGGGAACTAACCCCTGCTGCCAAGTCAGGCCTCTAGCCTCCTTGCATCATGGCATATAATAAGCATATGTACCC